TAGAACCTTTCGGTGAATTTGGTAGAGTTCCGGGTTGACAAGCTTTTATCCTACTGTGGCCTAGTGCGTCAAGGCAGGTGTCTGGGTATCACCAGAATGCTGGTTAGAGTCACCTCATTACCCCAAAATAATTATATATAATAATATACAGATATACAATATATTTATATACCTTGTATATATTGGATATATATACATACTATGTGTGTATATATACTGTGTGTAATATATAATTTATTTATTTTATATTTTCATTTGAATATAACTGCTTATTTACTTGTTTAACCACTGCACTGCACACCTGGTTTTGGCAAAAACATCATAATGCAATTGTCAAGGACATATTTTTGTTGTTTTTATAAATGTTCAGGTAAAGTTAATGTCAAAATGTTTCCAAACTCAACCATTTTCATTTCAAAACACAAAGAGTGATGAAAATGTTAAAAAACATTAAAATATTGCCCAATACAAAAAAAAATATAGCAGAACTCTCAGAGCGCCTTAGGGGGCTGTGTGCAGTACAGTGCACAGAGGCTTCTATCCCTCACTAGTGCTCTTGCATCTTGGTTTAATTGGAAGAGGATTTCTTCGCATGTCATATTTGTTCAAGGTTGATAAATAAAAGAACAAACGTAACTATAATATATATTATACTTTTTACAATGTTTTGAACCTGCAAGGTTCATTCTCAAGTGAGTAATGACAAGACATGGGAAACATCTGATTTTATTATACTGGAATACATAGTAACAATAACAGTCGGCCTTTCCTGGGTGTATAAATAACAAAAAACAGAAACATCTCTAAGCATCAGCATATATACATATACCAAGCCTACAAACAGAATTATGCCTGAATGGTAGCAGTGAATGCCCTCAAAGATATAAAGCTAGTGTTCTCAATTTTTGCATTCATCCACCCTCTACCCATTGCTCTGAATGGAGTAACCTGAATAGGGAGTTTGAAAGAATAATACAAGTACTGGCAAACAATTGTTATAATAACCATGAGGTCAACACTACTATAAGACGACACTTGGACTGATGGGACAATCCTCAACCAAGAATTGAAACTACAACACCTCCACTAAAATTATATTATAAACCTATCATGCATAGTGAATACAAGAGAGTGGAAAAAATAATGAAAGAAATCATCCATAAGGGAGTAAAAAGCACAACTCCTGACCAAAACAGACATTATATATATACTGTATATATATACTGTACTATAAAACAAAGAAAACCACCAACCTCCTCATTAAAACAACCTGAAGCCAACCAAGAACGCTTTGCAACAGTCGAATGTGGTACATATGTACACCTGCTCCCTAAGCTCACAAGGCATTTAAGCTGTCATCTCCAATCTGCTGCCCCTAAAAATCACATGATCGAAGCTCATGACATCACCCTAATGAGAGAAATGTTGAATAAAAAAGCCTGTACTGTATATTACACAAAGCCCAAGATGTAAGACAATTACAAACTATTGAAGCGCTACACATAAAAACAGAAGCACCCACCATAAACATTCAAATAACAGAAGTATCCACTCTTCCCACCATGAGAGTACGAGCATGACTAGAACGTAAACAAGCTTACGTTGACATCACTGGCCATGACGCAGTGCCCACTATAGTCACCTGACACAACTTTGTACTCCATCATTGGCCCATCATCTCACTTCCTCCTCATATTCTTATTTCTGTTTACTGGGTCCAGTCATCTGACATAATTTTGTACGCAGCTGACCTCCCGGTTTTATATAATATAATTCCATCATACGTGTAAAACCCAGACAATGATTGTTTAAATCGTCATAAGACGATGACCGCACTTTTCCTAGTAACATTTTTGAGGATGGCCACATTCTCTCTAGTAACATTCTTGATGATGGCCACATTCCCCCTAGTAACAGTCTTGATAATAACCACATCCCCCTAGTAACATTCTTGACAATGACCACATTCCCTCTAGTAACATTCTTGACAATGACCACATTCCCTCTAGTAACATTCTTGACGATTCCCTAACATTCTTGACGACAACCACATTTACACCATGAAATGGTACCAGGATTTTTTCATGGGTTAGGTAAACTCCATTACATCTTCATCAACCTATTATATCGCATATTTGCATCATTCATGTAAAACCAAGACAATAATTGTTTAAATAGTCAGATAACCACATTTCCTTAGAGATTATCAATTGAAGATAATCACAGCCTAAGAGTTTAATGCATACTATTGTACTCCAGCGTCAAATGAAATTGGTGTTTGTGCCACTGGTAGATGAGGTAGGTATTGATTAATTTTCTTCTTACATCATGTGATTATTGGCTGGTCTACATCCTCAAATGTAGGTTAATTTCAAGGAAAATGTGCGTCAAACAATGGGGAAATGAATTACGGAATCCAATGATCTCAAAAAGTATATGTACGAATGAAATGTCATTTGTATAGAATTAAATACAAACACAGTAATACTTGTTACTAAGTATATTTGATATTTAATTACAAATTACAATGATAGACAGCACCTTATTATAATGTCTAGAGAGAGCCAGGCAGGGGAAATTCTTGCTGTTGCTGCATCATTGATGTTCCTGCTATGTCCTGGACATCATTGATGTCTCCTGATGTTCCAGCTATGCCCTGGACATCACTGTTGTCTCTTGATGTTCCTGCTGTGCCTTGGACAAATGTTTGAGTTCTCAGCATAACTAAGCGTACCACTCCTGTGGGTGGCGCGAACGTGCACCGGCCAGCTAAATTTGTGTTGCTCCAGTGACGTTTGCTGCCCATATTGAAACCTTCTTGCACGTGCCACTTTGTTGATGTTTAGAGCGTTTTGAAGAGAGAGGCACCTTGAATGTGGGCGGTGTAAAACTGAGCAAGAATCCATGGTGCAGGTCTGCTCTGTCTAATGACACGAGAGTCACTGACAGCCACACCATTCCACGTGTTAACCTTAGATGTGTTGAATTGCCAGTGAGTATAATCAGAATAATATATACATATAATAATATATTCACATGTACTGTACTGGTAAAATAAATATGTATATAAACAGTGGGCAGACCTCATAGGCTGCTGGGGTGGCCAGGCCATGCAATCGGCCTAAAATAGTTATAGAAAAAAGGGTATAATATACCATTTATACATTGTAAAGACATATTTGTACACCAAAGTGTTGCCACAATTTTTTTTTAATTTTTTTGTAGATACGTTTTACCTTATATTGAGTTTTTAAATACTTTTCGTTCCCTTGCATCTTAATTTTTCCATTATCGTATTGTGTATTTTACTTCTAAAATTACATGGTTACGTACCTATTGGAGGCAAGTACCGTACAGTATATCAAAGCTCTCTTCCTCATTCCTAGTAAACATTAGGTCCAGTATGAAAGGATCATCCTCCTTCCCTCATTCTTGTGGGATGATTGACTTGATGATTGACGTGAATGCCTCTAGGAAGAGATTCATGAATCTGTTAAGAAATCTTGTGTCCTTATTTTATAAACCTCCCAATCTATTGTTTTCATAAGAAAGTCTCCAGGTGCCATCAACCTATCTGCTTTTTTATAACATCACTCTAATTCATAATGAGACACTTGTTAATTATCAATGCTTCCTTTGTCTAAATGATATTTGATGATGATAATAATAAAAGCAATTGTACGTGAGAAAAGGTCAGAACTAATTTTGCACTATTATTTGACTAAGGGAAAGTACATCAAATTATTTGGTGACTGATTATTCGTTGTATTTATGATATTTGCCTTGAAAACACTTATGTTTTGGCTGTGAGTTACTCCGACCATTTTTATTTTTATAGAATGTTCGTGAACATTTTTTATTAGCATAGATGAAAAGAAGTTTGTCGTCTTCTTACTGGAATTGTAACACAAATTTGATGATCAAATATAAATTTTATAGGCAAGTGTAGTTACAGGAGAAGAGCTACGTGCGATGTGTCCCATCTTCCCAGTACTCTTTGTCGTATAACGCTTTGAAACTACTGATGGTTTTAGCCTCCACCACCTTCTCACTTAACTTATTCCAACCATCTACCACTGTTTGCAAAAGAAATTTTCTAATTATTTTTGGCACCTTTGTTTACTTAGCTTGAATCTGAGATCTCTTGTTCTTGAAGTTGCTGGTTTCAGGAATTATTCTTTGTCAATTTGGTCGATTCTGGTTATTATTTTGTAAGTGTTGATCATATCACCTCCTTTTCTTCTGTCTTTTAACTCTAGCATAGTTAACACATCTAGCCTCTCTTCGTAAAGCCGGAAACAATGCAAATAAATTGACAAAGTTATTCCCCTGCGGCACTTCACCTAATTTCTATTGAAAAAATGCAACTTCTCCCGCCCCACCACAGCTAAACCACAAGAGATAGACTTCTTATTTGGACTTCCATCCTTCCTGGCTGCTAAATAACAATGTCAAAAAAACAAATCATTTTTTCAGAGCAATTTATTTTCTGCGCACCTGGGTGTTGCATGGTAGAGTCGCTTGTGCAGCCGAAGTGTTAATGACCTTCGTGCTGTTTGATATTGGACGATTTATGCATTCCATTTTATGTGATGATGGCTTTGGTAACTGTAGTGGTGTGATTATTTTTTTTAATTTTTTAGTGTACATCATATTTCTCTACTCTAGTTGATAAGGTTCCAGCATGTTATGTGCATTTTAATTTACACCATCTTACTTTCTTTTTATTGTTCAGCTGACCAAAAGTCAGCTTAACAGTTATACAGTACAGTATAATCAATTTTATTTTGGGAAAAAATATGGAGGAAGAATAAACTCGTATATATTGCACACTCTTGTGTGTTGCTCTGTGGTATGTAAGGTTCTAAACATAATAGTTTTCCTGATAACAGCTATTTAGTAATTTTATCAACTTTTTTAGTACTGTATATGTTGAATGTTAAAATAAAGTTTAATTCTCTATGCACTTGATCTTTTAACTAATCCTGATGATATTACAGGTTGGTAATTTGTATAACGATGGCGTGACCCTGAGCCAGACCAAGCAGCAACAGCCGCAGCAGCAGGCACAGCAGCAACCACAACAGCAGCCGCAGCAGCAGCAGCAGCAGCAGCAACAACAGCAACAGCAGCAGCAGCAGCCTCAGCAGCAGCCGCAGCAGCAGCCTCAGCAACAGCTGCAACCACCATCACAGCAACAACAGCAACAGCAGCCGCAGCAGCAGCAGCAGCCTCAACAGGAGCAGCATGGGCAGCATCAACAGACACACAAAATTAGCAGTAACAGCACCACTTCATCATCATCAGGGCATCACCACCACCATCACCACCACCACCATCATCACTCAGCCAGAGGCAAGTCACTATTACAACTGCACAACTCTCTTTACATTAAAGCCATACCTCAATACACACAATCTTCATTAGAAAAGAAATTAAACATAAGTACATAATTGCATAGGTGAAAAATGACCCAACTAATTCAGTAAAGCTAAAGAAAATAGTTTGAAATCATTGTTATAATACCGTGGGGCATGGGATTATTTATTTGATGAGACAAAATAGGTTTTCATGAATAATTGGGCCCAGAAGAGAGATTAATGAACAGCGGAACACCGTTCCCAGAAGAGAGAGATTAATGAACAGCGGAACACCGTTCCCAGAAGAGAGAGATTAATGAACAGCGAAACACCGTTCCCAGAAGAGAGAGATTAATGAACAGCGAAACACCGTTCCCAGAAGAGAGATTAATGAACAGCGAAACACCGTTCCCAGAAGAGAGATTAATGAACAGCGAAACACCGTTCCCAGAAGAGAGATTAATGAACAGCGAAACACTGTTCCCAGAAGAGATTAATGAACAGCGGAACACCGTTCCCAGAAGAGAGAGATTAATGAACAGCGAAACACCGTTCCCAGAAGAGAGAGATTAATGAACAGCGAAACACCGTTCCCAGAAGAGAGATTAATGAACAGCGGAACACCGTTCCCAGAAGAGAGAGATTAATGAACAGCGAAACACCGTTCCCAGAAGAGAGAGATTAATGAACAGCGAAACACCGTTCCCAGAAGAGAGATTAATGAACAGCGAAACACCGTTCCCAGAAGAGAGAGATTAATGAACAGCGAAACACCGTTCCCAGAAGAGAGATTAATGAACAGCGAAACACCGTTCCCAGAAGAGAGATTAATGAACAGCGGAACACCGTTCCCAGAAGAGAGATTAATGAACAGCGGAACACCGTTCCCAGAAGAGAGAGATTAATGAACAGCGAAACACCGTTCCCAGAAGAGAGATTAATGAACAGCGAAACACCGTTCCCAGAAGAGAGATTAATGAACAGCGAAACACCGTTCCCAGAAGAGAGATTAATGAACAGCGGAACACCGTTCCCAGAAGAGAGAGATTAATGAACAGCGAAACACCGTTCCCAGAAGAGAGATTAATGAACAGCGAAACACTGTTCCCAGAAGAGAGATTAATGAACAGCGAAACACTGTTCCCAGAAGAGAGAGATTAATGAACAGCGAAACACCGTTCCCAGAAGAGAGATTAATGAACAGCGAAACACCGTTCCCAGAAGAGAGATTAATGAACAGCGAAACACCGTTCCCAGAAGAGAGATTAATGAACAGTGGAACACCGTTCCCAGAAGAGAGAGATTAATGAACAGCGAAACACCGTTCCCAGAAGAGAGATTAATGAACAGCGAAACACTGTTCCCAGAAGAGAGATTAATGAACAGCGAAACACCGTTCCCAGAAGAGAGATTAATGAACAGCGGAACACCGTTCCCAGAAGAGAGATTAATGAACAGCGGAACACCGTTCCCAGAAGAGAGAGATTAATGAACAGCGAAACACCGTTCCCAGAAGAGAGATTAATGAACAGCGAAACACTGTTCCCAGAAGAGAGATTAATGAACAGCGGAACACCGTTCCCAGAAGAGAGATTAATGAACAGCGGAACACCGTTCCCAGAAGAGAGATTAATGAACAGCGGAACACCGTTCCCAGAAGAGAGAGATTAATGAACAGCGAAACACCGTTCCCAGAAGAGAGATTAATGAACAGCGAAACACTGTTCCCAGAAGAGAGATTAATGAACAGCGGAACACCGTTCCCAGAAGAGAGATTAATGAACAGCGGAACACCGTTCCCAGAAGAGAGATTAATGAACAGCGAAACACCGTTCCCAGAAGAGAGATTAATGAACAGCGAAACACTGTTCCCAGAAGAGAGATTAATGAACAGCGAAACACTGTTCCCAGAAGAGAGATTAATGAACAGCAAAACACCGTTCCCAGAAGAGAGATTAATGAACAGCGAAACACCGTTCCCAGAAGAGAGATTAATGAACAGCGAAACACTGTTCCCAGAAGAGAGATTAATGAACAGCGAAACACTGTTCCCAGAAGAGAGATTAATGAACAGCGAAACACTGTTCCCAGAAGAGAGATTAATGAACAGCGAAACACTGTTCCCAGAAGAGAGATTAATGAACAGCAAAACACCGTTCCCAGAAGAGAGATTAATGAACAGCGAAACACTGTTCCCAGAAGAGAGATTAATGAACAGCAAAACACCGTTCCCAGAAGAGAGATTAATGAACAGCGAAACACCGTTCCCAGAAGAGAGATTAATGAACAGCGAAACACTGTTCCCAGAAGAGAGATTAATGAACAGCGAAACACTGTTCCCAGAAGAGAGATTAATGAACAGCGAAACACCGTTCCCAGAAGAGAGATTAATGAACAGCGAAACACCGTTCCCAGAAGAGAGATTAATGAACAGCAAAACACCGTTCCCAGAAGAGAGAGATTAATGAACAGCAAAACACCGTTCCCAGAAGAGAGAGATTAATGAACAGCGAAACACCGTTCCCAGAAGAGAGAGAGAGATTAGAATATCATAATGAGGATCAAAAAGGATTATGGGTCATTTTTGAAGAAGTAGAGTGAATATGTGATCTAGAAGAGACGTTGACTAACACTTGAAAAGAAAATGCATAGAGGCAACAGGGATTCATTCGTTGCAAATGGATGCAGGTGGAAGAAGAAAAAATCTGTGGTTAAACAAGAGGTGCCAAGAACAGATATGGATGCGGGAAGGCATGAAAGAGATACAACGGCTCAAATATTGGAGAAAATAGGGAAATGAAATAAACATAAATGCAATCTATGTAAGAGAGTATGTCTTTGTCCAAGGTTGAAAGCCAGATGCTTAGGGCTAGCCTCACCCATCTTTGCAGGGGGGTGGGGTTTGGAGGTACAGAAAATATATCTACTAGCTTGTCTAGTCTTGGCTGGTCTAAGTTAAATGTGTATAAGAAATATTAGCATTGATAGAGACCCCGTGTGATTTTCACGAAGCCAACTTTGAGGTTACCTTGCGGTGATTCCGAGGATCAATGTCTCTGAGGTCTGGTCTCTGACCGGGTCTCCTGGTTGAGGGTCTGGTCAACCAGGCTGTTGAGAGGCGGCTGCTCACAGCCTATGTATGAATCACAACCTGGTTTATCAGGTATTCTTTGGAAGTGTTTGTTGAGTTCTCTCTTGAACACTGTGAGAGGCCGGCCAGCTATGTCCCTTATGTGTAGCGAGAGAGTGTTTAAAAGTCTTGCGGCCTTGAAATTGAGTTCTTCTTCAGCATACCTATTGCGCCTCTGTATTTCAATGGGGCTATTTTGCACATCCTTCCATGCCTACTGGTTTCCTGTGATGTAATCTCCGTGTTCAGATTTGGAGCCAGTCCCTCTAATATTTTCCGTGTGTAGATTATGTATCTTTCTTGCCTGTACTCTAGAGAATACAGATTTTGAACTTTTAATCGGTCCCAATAATTAAGATGACTTGTAGAATGGATTCTAACAGTAAAGGATCTTTGCATGCTCTCAAGGTCAGCAATTTCTCCAGCTCTGATTGGGGCTGTTAGTGTGCAACAATATTCCACTCTAGAGCACTAGTGTCTTTATAAGTATCATGATTGGGATGACATTCCTTGTTTGGAAGGTCCTTGTTATCCAACCTGTGAGAACATTGTAAGAGGAACGTATGCATCGCTTTTCAACTTCAAAATAACTTTTAAATACGTATATGGATGGCGAAATATTGAAGAAATTGTTCACAACCTTTGCGAGACTAAAGGTGGAATAAACAGTGTTTGCATGGTGCCCATATCTCAAGAAGCACATCATTAAACTAGTAAAGGTACAAGAACATGCATTTAAATGTCATTTGGAATTGAGAAACAAGAGCTACAAGGAGAGGTTAGAGGCCTTAAATATACCAATGCTAGAAGATAGAAGAAAAAGAGGTGATCTGATCACTACATACAATATAGTAACAGAAATCAACAAATTTGACAAAGAAATTTTTTTTTAAACTATAACTTCAAGCACAAAGGGACATAGGTTTAAACTAAGGAAACAAAGCTGCCAGAAACATTAGAAAGTTCACTTTTGCAAACTATGTTGTAGGTTGTTGGAACAAGTTCAGTGAGAAGGTGGTGGGGGCCAAAACCATCATTAGTTTTAAAGAGTATTGGGAAGACGGGACACTATGAGCGTAGCACTCGTGATGTAACTACTCTTAGGTAATTACCCGTGTATGGGGGCATGGGTAATTTTGTTTACTACAGTTCAAAAAGTAAAGTTTTGTGATTGTATTTGTGTCATTTTGGTTCCAATTATGGGCATACTTGTCTATCTTTGCCTTTTTGTGTATATAAGGTTGTGTATTCTCTGTTTAGAGGTCTCATTTGGAGCCTTCTCTCCTTCATACAGGTAGGTGAAGTAGTCTTTTCCTTAGGATTGGGGGGAAGGGGCTGGCCTGGGGTTGAGTGCCCCTTTGGCCTGGCCTACCGTTGACCCTGGATGACGATGTGGGTTGCAGACTAGCCTGTCGTCAAACTGGGGCTCGGAGGTCAGTCTGTCGTTGACCCAAGTCTATTAAGTATTCACACCTTGAGTGTGTTTCATAATAATAATCCTTAGGGACAATGGTCTGGAATTTTACATGTTCTCTTAATCTCACCTTCCTGAAACTTGATCCAGACAGGATCTATTGTCGTTTCGGTTATGCGACAGGTCAGTGTTTTTTATCTGGGCTGATGGTTTTGAGCTTTGGTCGGCATTTGCTTCCTAGCTGCGATATCAAAACATACTCACATACTGAATTTTAATGTAATTTTCCCATTCTAAAGTGTATTGTGCACAGAAAAGAACAGACTTTTTGGATTCGGTCTCAGGAGACATTTGGTTGATAATCCTTGTCCCCAAATTATTGAGTTGCTGTGGAGTTCAAGGCATTCACAGTCATCAGATTCCTCTCCTGTCAACAGTTATTCTCTCTGCC